TTATAAAGATTTTGTATTTTAGTATATAAATACAAATATTTTATATTTAGTTTCAAAGAAACTGAAGTTATGTCTCAGTCACTATGTTCAACTTATTGTTTACTCAGTAGTAGTGATGTAATCTTTCATAAATCAGTTGAAACAGACTGGTGGACAGTAATTATCATTATGTTTTTTTCAGATGTATAGAGCATTAAACATCCAGATTGTTTTGGTTGGATTAGAGATCTGGACAGATACAAACCACATATCTGTAATGGATGGTTCAGCTGGAGATGTGCTGAGTAGATTCGTTTCTTGGAGACAGAAAGATCTTCTCAAACGATCAAGAAATGATGTTAGCCATCTCATAATGTAAGTTTTCATTCAGTGGAAAAACTAGCCACGCTGCCAGTGTTGTTAAGGTATATGATTTGGGGTTTGTATACAAATGAAAATATAACTGGAGTAAAATTCACTCAACTTCCAAACTGTTTTAACCTGGGAAAATGACAAGAAACTATAATGAATTTTTTATACAGTTAATCAACTCTAGGTGGCTCTGCTTGAGCAGGGGGGTTGGACCAGATCACCTTCAAGGTCTCTTCCAACCTCAGCCATTCTGTGATTCTGTGAACACAGAAGCACTGACACAGCTGGCTGAGGTCATTGACCATTATTTTCAAGCTGTGTTATTCAGATATTCATTATTAATTACAGTGAAACCCTGGTACGGTGATAAATTTCTCCTTGACTTCAAGACGGCCAAATTTTGTCTTGCAGCATTTGTTTGAAACTCACTCGTGTCTTTTAGTAGAAATCACAAACTTTCAGCCCCTCTTTCAACAGCACTTTCAAACTGCTTTTGTTTCAGAGGGAGAAGCTCTTATGGTGGAGCCATTGGAATGGCTTTTGTGGGTACCGTCTGCTCACAAGTCCAGGGAGGGTCAATCAGCACTGTAAGTATACAATGTTGTGGTTAATGGAAGAAACTAGCACAGGAGCTGCTAAACTGTCATAGATACACTGCTAGTGGGACAGAGGTACCTGAACAATTTAAGGCTTTCCCCTCTCCATTTACAAAACCCTGCGTTGAAGATTCTGCTATTGCCAGACATTGCTTCCACAGAGGTACCTTCCAGAGCATCCTAATAAATAATGTGCACTTTGCTGACCTGTTTGGTCAAGTCACCCCGGTCTTGGAGACTAGGCTTGGAGTTGTATGGTTTCTTTCATGGGGTTTCTTATGTAAAGACTTGTGCATATTTTATACTTATATTTAATTTTTTTAAAAGTATTTCCCAATTTCTCTCTTCACCACATTCCAGTCCACTTGGCTGATTTAATCCTGAAATAATTTTTTGACCACCTTTTGTTATTCATCTGTCTCAAGGTTGCATAAGAAAAGCCCATCCTCATACCATTAAAGTTCATAACCACAATGTTTTGGAGATGGGAATGCAGGTACAAAATAATGTGTATTTTTTTTACTCTTTACATGGATAGAAAGTTAACATAATGCACTATATTCTCAAGTGTCTGGAATTCCCCACAATAAGGCTGGAAACAGGCAAAAATTTTAAATATGGCAAAATTAGTAAGAAACTATTTTTTTCTCCTTCACCCTTGGGGCAGAACCAGTATCTCCAGAGGTTCCTGCCCTTACAATATGGATGCCACAACATCGTGGACAATCTCAAAAGCAGATTCTGTTCTTTAACAGTACATTTGTCATTGAAGACTCCATTGAAATCAGTATAATTAACTGTGTTTAGAATAGAATAGAATAGAATAGAATAGAATAGAATAATTTCAGTCAGAAGGGACCTACAATGATCATCTAGTCCAACTGCCAACTGTTATTATTCAGAATATGATCCTAATGAAAGGAATAGAAAGAGTGGCAGAATCCTGCCTACCTGAAAATAAACAGTGACGAATTGTCTGTCCTTGCTGCTTTTGCTTTGCAATACAATTTAGTATTCTGTCTTCATAGGCTCTGAGAGCATTGTGGCTTGAATAAATCAGTAGGTAGAAACACGGTATTTTCTTTACTTTCACAATTTTTTTTTAACACTGACTCTCTTTATTAGTTGAATCATAATGATATGTTACGGCATGCTACAGTAGTTGCACATGAATTGGGCCATAATCTCGGAATGAAACATGACGATAAAAGGTGTCCTGCATCCTATATTATGCACAGCACAGATAAGTAAGATTTCCAGTTACTTTATTTTAATAATTGTTATTTATCTCCAGTGACTATGCCTTATAAGCTGTGAAATTCCCATGAATCTTTAAGAAATTTTGTGATTAGGGAGTTGTTTGAAAAGTTTAATCACAGAGATGAATTCACTGACTTAGGACTTGACATAATTTTAATTTATTTGAAATGTTATCTGTTTCCCAATCCAATCATTCTTTATTTGTAGCATTCCTAAAAACTTATTTGGATTTTCCTAATTTTTTTTTCAGTGATGATTGCTGGTTTTTTTACCCTACTGAGAATGCTTTACATATATTCACTGGGTTTGTGCAAACATGCATTTTTTGCACAGATTCTCTTAACAGTTAATTTAAACAAAACCTCTCGGCTTATGTTTCTTTCAGTTCATTTGTTCTTTGGCTTCCCCTTAAGAGAAAAAGATCATATTATTTTATCTATCCACATTTGTATCAATAAATCAGGGTAATTGAACACTGGACAAAACTACTGTAAGAAGATGCATTCCTGAGTTCTTAGGGACTCCTAAGTTAAGGTTAATGTCTTTCTGGAAAGTATTTTTTAATCAAGCATTTTTAGACTCAGTACAGACAAGGAATTTCTAAGGCCTGTTTTACATAGGACACCAAAATGGATAATCTGATGGTCTCTTTGGCTTTTGAAAGTACTTGCATTTATGTTATACTTCATATTTTTAACTTCTAGTACTGTACTCTAATGCAAAATAAAGTAAAAATTAAGTATCTCATGATCTCCTAGTATTATGAAACACAATATTTATTATAGATTGACAATATTTTAAGAGCTTGAGTTGTATTTTTTCCTGCAAGCAAAATATTTATAATAAAAAAATAATATTATGCTTTCCAGTGGATCCAGGAATTTCAGCACCTGCAGTGCTGATGATTTTGAGAACCTTATTCTAAGTGGAGGAGGAAACTGCCTGAGAAATCCTCCCAAGACAAGTAATGTTTACAAAGAACCAGTCTGTGGTAATAATGTGGTCGATAACAACGAAGAATGCGATTGTGGCAAACCACAGGTAATGAATGAAATTCAACTGGATACTTGTTACACAAATGTTATATTATATTATATTATATTTGCTATATAATACTGGCCTTTTGGTATACATGATTTGCGTTAATATCTGAGGCATTTTCCTTGTAATTTTACATTTTTCAAGCAATATGAAGATAAATTTTAGTAAAAGCTTAAAATTGTACTTTGATTTTGATACAAACTCCGTTAAGGGCTACTGGACTTCACAGAACTTTGAGGGAATGCTGAGAAAGAAGTGCAGTTCAGTGCAGAGTATGTGGAAACGCCACTGGGGTTTATGCTGGTTTTAGCAACATGGGTATTTCTGTTACATAAAAGAGACTACTCATCTATTGAGCACTTACAGGTTTCCTAACTGTAATCCTTAAATTTCACCCACAACAAAATTACTTTTGTTAGTCGTATTTGCGTTGTCAAAATGTCCCTCAAGGAATGGGATATATTGGCTCGTTCTTTACAAAATAAGTGTGTCTCAAAAAAGGTACCAATGAATCGAAAGGCTGTCAGCAAACCCTGCTTCCACTGTATAAGCCTTCTTCTAAGTCATTAAAAGATACCAACATTTCACTACATCAAACTGCTAGTGCAGTGGAAAAATAAGATAGGGGAAGGGGTGATGAGAAGTGTTATTTAAAAAACAATGTGTTCTGCTTCTTTTAGTGTCCATTTAAAGTGCAAACCTATCCTATACCCCTATGCCACAACACATTAAAACAGATGTTTTTCTGATGACTTGTAGTAAAAAGATACAGCCAAACTGTGTGCTGGTTGCCATTACAGCAGAAGGCTGTCAACCTCAGAACATGCAAGCGAGATGAGGTGTTTAAAGTTTGGTGTCTCCGTGCACTTGGTTTGATGATGTACATTCCTAGCTATACAGCGAGGTAAAAACATTGTGTCCCCTTGTCTATGGTTGTTCTCCAGGAATGTACGAACCCTTGCTGTGATGCTGCGACCTGCAAACTCACGCCTGGATCGCAGTGCGCCCAAGGACTGTGCTGCAAAAATTGCAAGGTAGGCTATATTTTATTAAGCTAAATTGATACTATTTTACTAGTATTTTTTAATGTTTGAAAAGAGCTATCAGAGTAGTCTTGACGTACTTTCACAATATCAAACTACATTCACCGGTAGAGAGCATGTAAGCAGAGAATTTGTGTCTAACAGCTCTTGGCCAGTAGCTTAGAAATGGAATGTCATCTCTGTGTCACGCCTCAAAGGACGCAGGAGCAATCAGGGGACTCAGTAGTAGTGATCTCCAATACGCAACACCAAGCTTCTCCAAAGTCTGTGATAGTTGGCTGCTTTTTAATTTGTACTTGTGTACGCATTTGTACGATCTACCCAAGTCCTCTGCAGGCTGAGCTCATAAACTTTATAGCTACACCATATGAAACTGAGGGAAGTTTTGGATATTCGTTAGATATTGATCTGAAAAACTGTCTTGTCTTCCTTAAAATCACAAAAAGTTCCCAGTTGTCATTGTTTCATGTTAGAATTTCTGGTGTTGCAAAATAAATGTAGGGTGGCATTCCTCTCTGGTTCTAGTTTAAAGTGGCAGGAGAAGTGTGCAGATCGAAAATGGATTTCTGTGATCTACCTGAATATTGCAACGGAAGTAACGCCTACTGTCCAGACGACGTTTATATCATGAATGGTTACCCATGTGACAACATGAAGGCATATTGCTACTACGGAGTATGCCAGAGTTTTGATTCACAATGTGAATCTATATATGGAAAAGGTATGTTTATAATTTCATGTAAAAACACTTGTAGTCTCCCAACAGACATTTCCAATTTTTTTTTTTCTTTCTCGTATTTTTAAGGCAGTATAGGGGCTTACTAAGATTCACTATTTTTTGTACAGGGGCACGAAAAGCACCTGATGTATGCTTTGAAAGAGCGAATATTAAAGGAGACAGGTTTGGAAACTGTGGAATGACAGGTGGAGTGTACAAGAAATGTCCTGTTCAGTAAGTCACCAGCAAATAAAAGCTAACCCTAAAATCTTCAATGCAAAAAATATATTCTGTTACAAACTCTTGGAGCATGAGATTTAAAAGAGTATTTCCTTGAAATGCAAGCTAAAAAGTTTGACTAGATGGTGTACTTGCACCGATACTGTTTTTTTTATGTTCACCTTGTCTCTGAGTGTCATTCATTCAATACAGGCACAGTCTGTGTGGCAAGCTCCAGTGCACATCTGTTAGTCTTCAAAATCTTCCCACTTGGAGTGTTGTCAATAACGCATCTGGGGTTTTATGCTGGTCTTCTGACTTTGACTTAGGATCAGATGTCCCTGATCCTGCTCAAGTTCATGATGGAACAGCTTGTGGAGAAAAGAAGGTAAGATGAATCACAGCAGGATTACAGAATATATTCCACCAACTGGAAAGTTCTTAACTTTCAAAAGCATTACATAGCTGTCTTATTTGTATGTCGTAATTAAAAATCTGCTTTTTGACATATACACATACAAAAAATTAATTAGCTCTTCAAAAATCAGGATGCTACAAATCAGTGAACTACATTATCAGTTATTCAAATTACTCCATCAAAATGCATCCACAGACTCAAGAAAATCTGAGACAAACAGCTATAAAATCGTGAAGCACTGAATGTTCTGTCAGCCCTGTTTCTTGACATTTAAGTAAAAGCTGTAGATTTGTAAACATATACATTTAGACAGTATATTTATAAAAGGATGGGATTTTTTTGAAGTTTTGTGTTTGAAAGGCACTAATTACTTTTTCCAGGCCTGTGTAGATTTTGAATGTGTTAATGCAAGTAATCTGGGCTACAGCTGTGATGTAAAGCAGAAGTGTAACGATAATGGGGTGAGTAGATGGTGTTTTCATGCCCTGTTTCTAGAAGACCGAGATAGGTGCAAAATCCCTGCATAAAAGCAATAACCAGCCAGATGGCTTTGTTTTTTTCTGATCTGTATTAAAAGTTAAGTCCATGTTTTTATCTGTAATTCACATTGCCAGTATACTGTAAACCTCTCAGCACTAACACTGAAAGACATTTCTTCTGAATTTCCCTAGGGAATTTTCTAATATTACTGAGCTGTTGAATTGTAAAAGGAAAATATTCCTTTGAGGAGGACAGTGTAGTAATTCCTGATTTATATATGTCTCCATGGAAAATCAAAACAGAGTCCAAAGGTTGTAAAACTGAGTTGTTCTTTGGACTGTAATCTATTGCAGGCAAATAACAAAAGTTAACTTCTCTAGAGAATTAACTTGTGGTATCAGTATCGCTCAGTGTTTTGGGATGTTATGGAAGGGGAGAGCTTATTCCCAGTTAATGCTTCATGTAGTCCTATGCAATACTATGCAATATTTCTTGTTTCCACATGCAATTCTTACTGTGGAACTCCAAATATTTACTGGAAGTTGAAAGCGGATGCTTCCAGAAAGGCGCTGTTCATTTGACTAATCCCGGTTGTATTGACTGTAGGTGTGTAACAACAACGGGAACTGCCACTGCAATTCTGGATGGGCACCTCCGTTCTGTGACCAGTCTGGCTACGGCGGCAGCATTGACAGTGGTCCAACTCATATAGGTAGGATAGTGAAACTAGCCTTCATTCTGCCCCCAGTGTCTGATAAAATAATCTATCAATAACAAGGGTCTTTTCAGTCTCTTTTCAACTGTTTGTTTTTTTTTTCTACTGCATGGGACACTTAATCATGGACTGACTTGAAGAACAAACATTATTATTTGATGTGTGCATCTGCAGATGTCAAGGAAGTTGGTCCAAGGGAGAATTTGACCTCTATTTTGTCTGAGATAAAAAGCAATACATTAGTTGCTTAGAAATACTGTTACGTTTTTTAAATAGTTAGATATTTAAATATTTACTTAGGTATTAAAAACAGAGTTCTGATAAAATGGGTGTAATAGAGGAAGACTATAGCTTGAGAATAAAACCATCAGCCTTTATATATGGAAAGCATTTCACAGAAATGAGAAGGGTTAAGGAGGTGCACGCAGCAAGCAGCAGCCGGCTCGTGTAAGAGGCATGAAATTCTGCAAAGGGGAAATGGAGATTTTGCTGGCCTTTACATGGAGAGACTGTGCAAAATGTTTTCCCTCTCTTTGTTTACAAGCGAAGTTCATTATCTGTAGCTTTGTGAGGCAAAAAACAATTCATAATTTATAAAATTTTACTAAATTCATATTTTGGGACAGGGAACAAATGTTTTGGTATTTATTAAAGGCTTAGGAAGGCAAAGATGTGCAGATCAGTCGTGGGTAAGCAAATACAAAATGAATTTGTCTGCTTTAGAATTGTTGAAAAAATATATGGAAAGGGAAAAAGTTTGTATATCATACAACATGGGGTGGGTAAGGCAGAAAGAACTTGTAACAACATAAGGCCAAATCCTTCTTTTCTGATCATAGCATTTGTAAATTTCAGTGAAGTTACTACTTTTAATCTATAATAATTTGAAGATTGCAATTTTTACAACAGAAAGGTGGTTTTAGCAGAAAAAATGCTTTAATATGAGGTTAAACGAGATTACCATCTTACATGATTTCAATTCTTTTTCTCTAGATACATCACTTCGGGATGGTCTGCTTATTTTTTTCCTCCTTGTGTTGCCGGTAGTAATTCTTACTGTATTAGCAGTAATTAAGCGTGATGCAATAAGAAGAAAGTTTTGCAGGAAAAGCAGAAGACAACACAGGTATTTCACTTATTACAAATGCATATTTCAACACCTGAGAGCATGCTCCAGATTAATTCAGCAAGCCAGGTAGATGCTTTATCTATAGAAAGAATTCCATACCTCCTGAAAGAAAAAGACTTCTCTGCTAATAGTAGTAGTAGGTAGTTTAATAGCGAGTACCTTACTATTAGGTAGTTTTATCCAGATACTCCAGTTGTCAGTTCCCAAGCATTTTTTTCCCAAAATACATTGCACTTTCCTAATTGTTCTTGATAATTGTATTGCATGGACACAGGGGCATAGCACATTGCAATTATTTGTCAAGGCCAGAAAGGGGTGGCGTCAGAAACAGAATCCAGATCTCTGAGCTGTAGCCTTGTCCGTTGAAAAATGTTGCATCCTTGAAGGTGGTGAAACCAAATGGGGATTTTCCTGACGACGTGGGTTTTATTTCAGGGATAACAATGTGCAGCAACCAAAGCAAAATAATGGACCAGGTCATAACACAAGAGATAGTCAGGTAAGAGAGAGGCATACTTGCCTTATTTCATGTTGAGTAATCCAAATTACACAGTGCCTTTTCTCTGATACAGTTACTGATGACTTTGTGGCTTTCTGATACATTGCAACTATCTGAATTTCTGAGTATTTAAAATAATTTATAATGTGTTAGATAGGACTTCTGTTTGGGTAAGTATGAGCTTTATTGCCTGCCCTGTCCACCTAGGCTGTGAGTAGTATGGGATGGAGCAGGCTGCTACTTAGCAGAGCAGCCAAAGATTGAACTCTGAATTCTGTGGCCAAATACCAGAGAAGCTGCTTAGCCAGGCTGTGGATCTAGTTCTGATAAGACAAAATAAAAATTATCAAAACAAAATGTTGCAAGAGAATATGAAGAATGTCACAGGAAATGAAAATTAGTTCTAAAATACCATTAGCTTAATACTGAATAATTAGTTACACTTTGAAATCTGGGTTTTCTGTTAACCTGATTTTCTGCAACATCTTTTCCAGCCTGCCACGTCAAGTCCTGATTTTTTTACCATATCACATTTTCCTGGTCCAAGGTTTGTAGTATTTAAAACTTTCTTGACTTCATGTTTGCTATGTTTACATTGCTGTATCACAGTAAGTGAAGTTCCTAATGTCTCATATCCTGCTTAGGAGGATTTTTCATGCAGCATCATATGAGATATAACAGACGAAATGCTTGAAGGAGAAATGCTGGTTTACTGCTTGTATAGAAAACAGAGTAATGGCACGCGTAAATGCTACTAGGGAGAGGGAGGGGACAGAGAGAGTTAAATATATGTATAAATGCTATCAACTGTTTAAAAATAGTAAAGAACCAGTTTAAAAATACCAGTTGTCTCAAGTCATTAAATACTTCATAAAATGTGTTTTCCACACTTCAGGCAGCCAGTAGAAACCCGGTTTCCTGCAGTTCCTTCATGACGTCAACAACCTGCAGTGCCACCTAGACCTGCTGTCTGAAAAGTTTCTTGGGAACCCTCAATCAATTCTGACAAGTAACTGCTCTGAAAAAAAATTGAAGATTGCAATTCTCCAGTCCTCTCCTTGTGCAGCCAAAACACCTTCTCCAAACACGTACCTCTGGAAGAGACTTGATGCTAAGAGGCACTGAACACAGATTTTGTAACATCTCATGATTTTACTAATTGCTGCTGGCTGTATTTGTGCCTCTTCTACCTCACCTCTTGTTTTTTTTTTTAATCAGAAGCCTGAAGTTCAACTCTTGTTAGATTAAATCTGTAACAGCATCAGAAAACGGGACTCTTCTGAAGTGCAGCCTTACCTGCAGGCCAAAGAGAAGTGAATTCAGTTATTTACAGATGTAATTTATTCACCTCTAGCCATACGCTGCTGTGAAAATTAGAACGCAGATTGGCCTCTTGGGAAGTCTGCGGTCTGTCTACCTCCCAAACCGTCCTCTCAGCAGTACGATGCCGGGGACCTCCGCGGCGCCTGCTGACCGCAGCCGTACCCCACACACCAGGCTTGCGGACAGTTCCTATGCCTTGCTCTGAGCCTTGTCTTCGGTGCAACCCTAGCAAAGCTGAGATCCAGATCCCACCTCTCCTTACCTACTAGCTCCCTTACTGACCAGTTCAGCTAGTTTATAAAAAGTAACCTCATACAGGGACACTAGCTATGGAAAGAAACTCTATAGATAATGTATCTGAGCCTAGAAGAAACAAGCTATCTCTATTGTTATAGAAAACGTGGTATATCAGGAAATACATTATACAACTTAATGGTGTTTTAATGTTTATTGATTACTACAGCTTGAGATTTTTGCTAAAAAACTGATTCCACTACAAAAGCAACAGATAACTTTCGTCACTCTAAATGGGACAATTAGAAAACGGTACCGATTTAAAAGAAAATGTATGAAGTTACATAGTTTGTCCAAAAGGCAACTAATGGAAAAGAAGCTGCTATGCAGGGAAAAACTCGCTGCCAAGACCAAAGCTGCGGATACTGATCAATCTGTTCATCAGGGAGTAAATCACACACTGACTGTGCAAACTTTGGGACTATGAACTAGCAAAAGGAGTGGATAAATAATGGAATCGCCTCACCAAGAAAATACTTCTAATCCCTTAGATGGCCATTTCACTGAAGAGCTGGACAAAAGAACCCTGAATATATTGCAGGCAAAAATCTGCACTGGCAAGGAGCGTCTTCCAAAGAAGTGTCATCCTGCTTAATTCCTCAGAATCTTAAATTGTTATTATTAAATATTCCTATAATTTAGACCTTATTAACAAGCATAATATTATATTGATATAAGTTAAAATAAGTAATCAGGGTCAGGACACTTAGTAGTATCTTGATTTTATGATCGCAACAAAAACTACCGGGGATCACTCAGCCATCTGACGCTTTCGGGTTCACTAAAATATATTATTGACTTTATTATCAAAATAAAACTGACGAAAACCGGTTGTTTCCCGCACGCTGAGCCCGGACTTCCCTCTCCAGCTCCGCGCCCCGCCCGCCAGGGGGCGTCCCGCGGCCACGGCCCCGCGCATGCGCACCAC